AGAGAGAACAAGACTGGCCCAATATCACACAGAAAGATTAATAGGATTGGAATTGATTGCTTTGGGTTGACTCAGCAGGCCAGTAGCCAGTGTTCTTATCTACTTCATCTCCTCCTTAGGAAAAAATGAGCATAGCTGGAGGAAACCTTGGGAGGAAATATGGCTGGGGCCAGGCAGGATGTAAATAATATTAAGAACAATAACAACTTAATATGTGCCAGGCACAGCTTTAAGTACATTCTGTGTGTTTTATTCAAACCTCACAGCAACCTTATGATTTGATGACTACCATTATCACCTGCATCATACCGAAGAGAAAACAGGCTCCAACACCTAGAATGGCTTAAAGCTGGGATTATGAACCCAGGCAGTCTGACACCAGAGATGGAGTGTTCAACCACTACACTACACTGCTGTCCACATAAAGCAAAGAAAGCAGAAGGATAGATGAGGCAGGAACAAAGGACAATGGAGCGATACAAGTTCTTTTTGAAGTAAATTGATTGAGGCAATCTAGTGTTTTGGCTAAGCAGCAATTTAAGACCAAGGGTTAAAAACTAGCTGGGTTTAAGGCTTACCTCTGCTACTAGTTATTGATTTTCTTTGGGCCTTAGCTTCCTCGTCTGTAAAATGGGAATAAAACTAACAAGTATTTCATAGGCCAGGTGTCATAGTTCACATCTGTAATCCCAGCACTTTGGGAGGCCAAGGCAGGAGGATTGTTTGAGGCCAGGAGTTTGAGACCAGCCTGGGCAACACAGTGAGACCTCATCTCTACAAAAAAAAAAAAAAAAAAAAAAAATTTTTTCTTAATTAGCCGGAAGTGTTGGTACATGTTTGTAGTCCTAGCTACTCAGGAGGATGAGGTGAGAGGATCGCTGGAGACCAGGAGTTCAAGGCTATACAGGGTGCCATGATTGTGCAACAGCACTCTAGCCTGATTGTCAGAGTAAGATCCTGTCTCTAAAAAAGTAAATAAATAAAAATAAAATTGAAAACTAACTAGCATTTCTTAGAGTTGTGATAAGGTTTACAGAAGACAATGCACATAACATGCCAAAGGCAGTGCTTAACACACCTACGTAAGTACTCAGTAAGAGCAATTAATGTCATTGGCTGTGCCACCTTCAGGATTTGCCTAGCTATACAGCTCCCCCGCCCCTTCCCAGGGAAAAGCATTTAGGAAGGAAAAAGAAGTTTGTAAATTGTCCAGAAAATGAAGAACTGAAGGCTGGGTGTGGTGGCACACACCTGTAATCTCAGCACTTTGGGAGGCCGAGGCAGGAGGATCACCTGAGGTCAGGAGTTCAAGACCAGCCTGGCCAACATAGTGAAACCCTGTCATTAAAAAAAAAAATAAAAAAGAAAGAAATGCCCATCGCCGATAGACTGGATAGGGAAAATTTGGCACATATACACCATGGAATATTATGCAGCCATCAAAAAAGATGAGTTTGGGTCCTTTGTAGGGACATGGATGAACCTGGAAACCATCATTCTCAGCAAACTGACAGAAGAGCAGAAGATCAAACACCGCATGTTCTCACTCATAGGCGGGTGTTGAACAATGAGAACACATGGACACAGGGAGGGGAGCACTACACACTGGGGTCAGTTGGGGGGAAATAGGGGAGGGACAGTGGGGGGTGGGAAGCTGGGGAGAGATAGCAAAGGGAGAAATGCCAGATGTAGGTGATGGGGAGGAAGGCAGCAAATCACACTGCCACGTGTGTTCCTATGCAACAGTTTCGCATGTTCTTCACATGTACCCCAAAACCTAAAATGCAATAAAATAAATAAATGGGAAAAAAAAAATAAAAATAAAAATAAAAATAAAATAAAGAAAAAGTATTAAAATAAATTAAAAATAAATTTAAAAAATAAAAAAATAAAAAATAAAATAAAATAAAATGAAGAACTGAGCAGAGTAACAGCTCTAGACATCCTTTCCCGCCTCTCAGGAGTATATGTGGGCATGGGGTGGGGGGTGGTTAGTGAGCACCAGCATTATTACCATCACCTCCTTTCTCAAGGAACAGAGCCTGCCAGATTATACCTCAGCCTTTGGTTACTTATAGCCTGAGTCAGAACTCTTTTTTTTTTTCTTCCTTCAGTTTTGTTTTTCCATGTCCTTTTCACATCAACTCTGTGAAGTACTGGGAAACAAAGAAGTAATTTCAAGTGTGTTAAGTGTCTTCCATGTGGTGGACACAATGCTACCACTTTCCATCACTGCCCAATATCTCACAATATTACTGGGAAGGAAGGGGTGCACTTCTCCTCGCTTTATAAATGATGCCCTGAATCCAGGGAAGGAAGCTGTCTTCTTTAATGTACATTTTTCTCTCATCCCATCTATTCAGTACTACTCTGGCCTGAGGTCGCATCCTGCTGAGGATTTTCTGTAAACTGAACTACAGTATTCTAACATTTCACCGTCCTCAACACACCAGTCTTTGCATAATCCCAAATCCCATGAGTTGAGAGTAATTTGCCACCAGTGGAGCTGAGATCAACTTATGACTCTGCTACTTACTCGCTATAGGATTCTGTACTCGTCACTTAATCTCTCCCTCTATTTCCTCATTTCTAATATGGGCATGATGACACCTTCTACTCCATGAGGTTGTGAAAATAAAATAACTTTCTTCAAAGTGCTCTGTCAACTGGAGATGCTTGACATAGAAACATTATTTAAAACAGAACCGTCAGATAGCTTAATCTCAAAGGAGCCCCAGAAGGGCAATGGAATGCCTGTATCTCTGACTTTCTATCAAGTAGGACACCAGATCTGCCAACTATGACTTTGGGAATGTTGGGGGACAGAGAATGCAGGAATACCCTGAAGTGACTGTTGAGGAAATGATGTTTGCCATAATCATTGTGTAATCTATATCATCATGGAGATATCTGAATCCTTTATATAACATTCTTCTGAAAGCAGTATCATCTACACTTTTCATGTGGCACTGAATACTTATTTGAGGTATTGGGCACTGTTGGAAAGCGCCCAGCATTGTGTCCACCACGGAAACAACACATTTGAGATTAAATTAAAACTGTTTCACTTCCTTTGTTTCTACTTTCCCTTTCCCACAAGTGCTCCATCTGTATTTGCAAAATCCTTCCCATCTTCCCTTCTAGGCCCATCCATTACAAAGCACACCTTAGTCCAGAACCAGGCCCTAAACCTCCAGGTCAGTCTTTCTGAATCCACACAGCACTGTGCACCTGATACTGTCTTGTACTGCAGTCATTTATATACTTGTCTCAACCTCTGCCCTTCCTTCCCCACCTTCCCATTCAATTCACAAACTCTTTGAAGGGAATAAGGAAGAAAGAAAGACTGATTCCTTTGTATTTCACCAACCTAATAGTTGTTTTATGTCAGTCTCATTTTATAAAGCTTTTAATTATGGAAATTTTAATATATAATTTCATATATATATAAACACCAATATACCCCTCACCCAGCTTAACAGTTATTGACATAAGGACAATAATCACATCTATACCTCCACTCATTCTGCCTTCTTACTTTGAATAATGTAATAGCAAATGCCAGACAGCGTATGATTTCATCCATAAATACTTCAATGTGAACGACATTTGTTGCACTTCTATGTCCCCTACAATTGGAAGATGACTTGCATTTATGTTCCCTGCTACTGGGCGCACCTCAGATTATTTCTGAGTGTGCCTATTATGTACCATATTTTGTGCTTGGCTTCAGAGGTTCTGTCTGAGCTGCAGAGGCACACCAGTACCAAGCCAAAATATTCCCAACCAATAATTGCTATGGTTCCAGGGAATGAGCTCCGGGTGCACATGGGAGCCCAGGAGCAGGGCCCTTAATTGCACTAATTGAGCGGAATCGGGTTTTCTCATCTCATGGTGACCCTGAGTTCGAAGTCACCACGAGACTAGGGGTCTCCAGCAGGAGGCGCTGCAAAGAGACAGGGTGGCGTGGGGCCCCCCGGGTTCAGCTTCTCCTGAGGGAGCCTGGAAAGGCGGCCATCGCCGGCTGCGGGTGCAAACCAAGTAGCAACTCCGTTTAATAGGTGAGCGGGACGCCGAGTGTCAGGGCCTAAGAGGAGCCCCCGGATTCAGGTTCCATGCAGAGGTGCAGGGGTGCAGGGCAGGTCTGGCACCTGCTCCCCAGGACTTCTGGACGCTGCGCGTTGACCTGGTTGCCACAGGTTCCTGTCCCAACTGCCGCTCTTCCTGATAGAATATATCTCGGAGCAAGGCACTGGACAGAACGAGGAAACACCTGTTTCCAACAAGAAACGAGGTAGGGGGGAAGCCCCCACCAGGCTTCCAATGGCCTCTCATTGAGCTTGCTCTCGAGAGCCTTGTAAAAGCGCGCCCAGAAAGCCAGCGGAGATCATTTTTCAAAAAGATCGCTTTCTATTTCTTACTCCCTCCTCCTTTTCCTAAGCCTAAGCTGTAACGTCTCTTTCTTTAAAAACAAAACAAAACAAAAAAAGTCGTCTTTCCTCCGAGGGGTTTCCCGCTCCTCTCAGACCCTCGTCTTGGTGTCTACAAGGACCACCACCCCCAACCCCAAATTTTGCAACTGCATTGGCTTCCGGGTTTTGCATTTCCTCAGTATCCCGCTAACCTATACAGGTGGGAATTAGGACTTGGGGGCCGTGGAACAAAGAAACCAGAGATTCCCTGTCCCGGGTCAGACGCCCCTTCCGCAGCCTCCGACCAACTGGGGAACAAGAGGAGATCAGGAGCATGTGAACCCCCCAACTCCGGTCTCACAGCACTTTCCAAAGGCTGGCATAGCAACCCGAGGACGCGTGGGAGGTGGGGACAGCCCCCGGGCAGCAGACAGACAGACCCCCACGGAACAGGCCTTGAGTGGCCGTGCGCGCCAGCGGCCTCCACGCACTGGGCTCTGTTATTTCATCAGCAGTTTCAGAAGAACCTGCCAAAAGCAGTTATGCCTCACTGCAATGTGTAGCTTTTTCCTGCCATTTTTTCATAATAAAAGAGGGAGTGAAGCTCGCTCGCTCTCTCCCTCCACCCCCCTCTCCCAAAAAGAGCCAAATGGATGCAAGAAGGGAAAAAAAAAACCCACACACCAATCTCCGAGGGGATGCCAATGAGGTGTGGCTTGTATTTAAATATCCAATATGTCAATGTAAGGGGAGTGGGTATGTATATAAAGTGCCGTTTGCATCTGATAGCTCGAGGAAGCCAGCGATGAGAGGCCGGAGGAGATGGATGCGGAGGGGAAAAGGCACTTTGACTGAGAGCAAGGTCAGAAGCGCGCTGCCTGACGCTCCCCGCCGCTGAGAAGTTCCTTGGACGCGAACAGACGTCGACTGCAGCTCAGCAGAGCGCGGAGAGAGCGAGCTAGCGAGGGACCGCCGCTGAACCGCCCGCGCCTGCCGCGGGGAGAGGCAGTTCGCGCCCCGTGGCCCCGGCTCGGACCCCGAGCGCCCAGCACAACCCGCGCCGCAATCGGCCCAGCCATGGCAGAGGTGGGGGGCGTCTTGGCCTCCTTGGACTGGGATCTACACGGCTTCTCCTCGTCTCTGGGGAACGTGCCCTTAGCTGACTCCCCAGGTTTCCTGAATGAGCGCCTGGGCCAGATCGAGGGGAAGCTGCAGCGTGGCTCACCCACAGACTTCGCCCACCTGAAGGGGATCCTGCGGCGCCGCCAGCTCTACTGCCGCACCGGCTTCCACCTGGAGATCTTCCCCAACGGCACTGTGCACGGCACCCGCCTCGACCACAGCCGCTTTGGTGAGGACGCGGTCGGGGGGACGGGAGGCGGGCGGACGGCGGCGCGCTAGGGAGCCGACAGCTCCGGGCTCCAGCGTAGGGCCCGCGGACCGCCCACCGGCTTGGTGTTGTCCGGGCCAGTCGAGGCAAGACACGACGGCGCGGGCGTGGGCCGCTCGACATCAGGGGGCCCTGCACCCTCGGACACTCTGGAGGGGGCAGGGGCGCCTTGCGGTGAGGCCTCTCGTTTCGCTGCTCCACCATCACTCCCCGGGGAGCAAGGGGCTTGTTTTGGGAGTTGGACTTTAAGCCTTGGACGAAAGCAGGTGGAGCTGAGAGAGGGGTGGGAGCTCTCGCCTTGGAGGCCGGGACCGTGGCTGCTGCGCAGGCCGAGCCTCGAGGGCAGCAGGGCTGTGGCAGCTGATTTCCTGGAACCGGATCCTGCATGGGCCATGGGTATATGAGACGGTCGGCCCGCACTCAAATCGCTTTTGGCCCATGGGTACCGGCCAGCTGTGGCATCTGCCTGCCTCGGGGTCGCTCTGTCCAGGGTAGGAGCCAATCCAGGCAGCCTGGCACGAATTGGGAATCTGGGAAAACCTCGTGGTGTCCACCGTGTAAGGGCACAAGTCCTGGGGTAGCTTTTGCCGGAAACTACCTCTGGACTCCTTGCCTCAGTGAGGAAACCGTCCTGGGCCCACTCCCAGTCCCAGAAACAGTTGTCTTTTGGGCCCAAAACAGTAAACGTTCAACCTCCACCCAGGATTGTCTCTGCCTGCCTGCCTCTATACAGACTGTTCAACACAGCTGTCTGTCTCACATATAAAACTAATTACACAATTAATATAAGCCTTGATCTATGACGAAGATCATTAGGTTTCTAAGTAGATGTGTTCACTCCTCAATAATTTGCCATTTTTATTTTCAATTTCCAATTCTCTACTGAGTCATCATGAGAGTTCTGTGACAGCTATCTTTGCCCCTCCCCATCTTCCAATGTCCTCTGCTTCCTCCCAAGGACCCTATAATCCAAGAAGGACACCTTTTCCCCCAAGCCAGTAAGATATTCTGCCTACACTCAAACATGACACCCTTCCCTTCGTTCTCCCACTCTCCTTCTTGCCAACATACCCCTGCTACCCCCTCAAACCTCTTCATCCTCCCATTCTCCATGCCTCGCTAGAGCTGCATCTGGAGTGCACAGCAAAAAGGGGGACATAGGGGCCAGTTGCTGGGTAAGGCCAAGCCTAGCAAACAGCTTAGGGGCAGAATTGGTCTTCCCTGCTGGGAACAGGCAGGAACCCTAATGAGGTCTATGGCATCTTGGAAAAATGCACTCAAACAGAGCTAGAGTAGCATAGGTTGGGAGGGGTAATGGAGGGGCGCATGTGTCTGTATAAACTTGCAGCAGGTCCTCAAAAGGGTGATAAGGTGAAGTGGGAGGAGACAGAGTGTTAACTTGGCTCCTTTCCCTTTCGTTGCTTGTGATTTTGCAGTCCCCTTTTGTTCCTCTTCATAAGGAATGGGACTCCCACCCTGGCCTCAAAGGCTTCCTGAAATGGCCTAAAGATACCGGGGTAACTCATTGCTGATACATAACCAAAGAAAGTCATGAAATGATGGAAAAATATGGGGCGGGGGCAGCAAAGGTAGAGAAATTATGAGCACACCTCCCAGTAGCTCCAAATATTTTTCTGATTGTGTGCCTAAGCTGAGTCCTGTAACCTACAAGGTCAACATAAATCAGTAATGGGCTCTTGGGATAAGTGGTCTTTAATTACCTCCCTAAAGACACATCTTGATTTCTTTTCATCTCCCAGGTCTGCTAAGGGTGTTAAGTTTAGGGAGAAATCACAGGAAATAAGATTGGCAGGAGGAAGGGACATTTTCATTGCTGCTTAACCGACTGCTTCATTTTTGGTTTTGCCTTTAAAAAAGAAAAAACACTGCCCAAAAGCACTTCTGCATCACCTTTTCCCTTTCCTCCTTCCCCAACTTCCTGGCAGTTTCCTGTAAAGAAAATGATAACTGGTCAAAGCTGTCTCTTTGTAACCTCCCCTGCCAACTTTAAAACACATACTCTTTCTCAGTTTAGCTTTTGGCACAGAAAGAGGTGGCGTTCGAGTTGCTAACTCTCTCCTCCCTCCACATTTGAGTTAATCAGCCAGGGTATTCAATAAATTGAAACTTTAACATTCCATAAGTGCTTTAGCAGTCAACATTCCAGCAGGGTAAAGTAGGCCAGACTTAAGATATAAAATATTATAGATTTCTGCTAGGGGGGAGGAGGTAGTCTCCAAAAGCCATGTGAAGTAAATAGCTATTTGTTGTAATTGGAGAGCAGGGCCCCCAAGGATTACCCTGGAATCCATGTGTTCAGAACAAGTCAGGCTAAGCCCAAGAGCAGTCTCGACTCCAAATAATAACCTGTTGGCACAGCATATGCTCTCCGCTCTCCATCTGCAATCAGTAGCCAGGAGTATTTCAATCCCCGCCTAGCTGGTAGCATTTATATGAAGTTCACAAGGATCCTGACATTCCGAGGGGCATCTGTGGTCTGGCAGAGCAGAGCTTGGGAGCCAAACTGAAAGAGAGTCCTCCCACCAGGTGGGACGGAGAAGGCTCATGCAGCTGCTTCAGTCCTTGAGTGATCTGGTTCTCGTTTGGCAAGATGCCAAAGCAGCACTGTCTCGGCCCCAAAGGTCTGAAAGGTTAGCTGAAGGAGTTCAGGCAAGTTTTGGACCTAGATTAAACGACACATTAGACAGTCATCTAGCTAGGTTCTGAAGCAGTGGGGCTTCAGAACAGATCAGTTTTGACTGAGAGCCTGGGGAGAGAGGTATAAGAAGAGAAGAGTCTGGAAATTGTCAAGAAAAGGGCAGAGCCTGATGTGGGTGGGTCAAGATGAGACAGAGTAGAGAGAGATCCTGGGCCTTGAAGGGGTAAGAGTACTGAGGACAAACTTTGTCTACTTAATACTTCACCTCAACACTTTGCTGTTAACACCCCTGTCCAGCTGTAGCTGGGAAAATATGAAAATGGCTTATTTTCTCTCCCCCTTCATGTTGGCTGGGATTCAGGAGAAGGTTTAGGAATATCTCTTCCATCATCATGTGCCACTGGGTTCCCACAGTTTGAATTCAGCTAATAGGAAAGTTGGCGAGGGAAAATGATGGCCAAAGACAGCTGGGCAGGGATAATTCCAGCTGTCAGAGACCCCTGTTACTGGACACAACCCAAGTGACTTCCTGTATGATCTGTCCTTTGGCATCAGGGTTAACAGAGAGTTGGAGAAAAACTGTAGTGACTCAAATGGCCACACCTCTTGGGTTTCATGATTTGTTCTCACACTATGTCTTGGGCAGTGAGATCACACGCTGCGCTCTGCTACTTAATGAGCTCAGGGTTGTCAGAGACATGAGATACTTACAGAATGAGGAAACTAACTCTTGAAGCTCAGGAGTAACCTGCCTGAGCAAAGCAAAGAACTAAAGGCTCCCACGTGTTAGCGTTCCTCAGAGTTTAGGACCCAGAACTGAATCATGACCTGGTTTCTAGTTTCCTCACCATACTGGGCACTCTCCTTTGAACATGCTCTGTTTTTCCATTTCCTTTTCTAAGCACAGTAGAACTAAACACACTACTCTCAGTGTGGTCTAACCATGACAGAGCAGAGTGGGACAATCCCTCCTCCCTTCTGCTAGTTACTAGACATGTATCAGTGAAGCCTTAGAGCATACTGGCTTTCTTTCTGTTTTTTTTCCACTAGCTTTCTAATTTTTAATTTTATATGACCAATTTTACATTAGCTTTTTAATAAGCCTGCTAATCACCCATAATACTGAGTTTGCCTGTTCAATCAAGTCTCTTAGCCATTGTTGTGTTTTACTAAGCCACATCCCCCCATTGCAGAGATGGGTAGACTTGCATGTAATTAAAATGCACAGCAACACAAAATAACAGTACATATTTTCAAGAAAGTATACATGATTGCCTGAAGTGGAGAGGCAGATGGGAGCAGGGTATGAAGAGGAAAAGAGAGAAAGAAATAGATAACTATAAAGACCTTGCACAGACCAACTATGTTAATAGGCCATGAACTAAGTAGTACAGTTAAATCAACTGTCTGCACTTGAGGGTCACACTCCCCCAACAAAACCCCAAACACAAAACACTTTGGGAAATTTGGGGGACCAAAGTGCAGGAGTTCACATTGATTGTAATTAAGCATAGTTTATTGGAGCATGCCCATTTTTCCATCCTCTTGAAATCTCTTTGGATATTGCTTATATCATCCCTCTCTAGAAGCTGTATGTCTTCTAGAACTAAGATAAGCAGTCCTCATATGTTCTCTTACAAGTCATTTATTGGAATATCAAAAAGAGCAGAACCGATTGCAAAACCTGGTGCAGTGCAGCTGAAGATTTGGGTGCATTAAATCAATGTCTGATTAACCCTTACTTGGCACTGGGTATTTTCTTTTCCCCTCCTACCATCTTGTTTCAATCTCATTTCCCAAGACTCCTTTCTTTGCACAGTAAGATATTTGATAACAACCAGACTGAGAATAAATCTTGGAGGATTTCAATGTTAGAGGCCAAAGGCCAAACCATGAGTGTTATATAGAATTGCAGCAGAAGAACCTTACCTCCTTCCAATAGATCTGGGTGGTTTGTGGAAGCACATGCCCCCAAAGCTGCCACACCTGAACAGCAGCCCACCAGCTTGAGTCACTGGGGTTCCTCAGGAGACTTCCCAGTAGAGTTTTTAACTTGATTTTAAAATTAGCCACTTAACACTCTTGATCTTGGGAAATCAGTTCTACTCCCTATGTAGATTACGTAGATTATTATTGCCCTTAAGAATTGCATTTTTGGGCCAAGCATAGTGGTGCACACCTGTAATCCCAACACTTCGGGAGGCCAAGGTGCGCAGGTTGCTTGAGCCCAGGAGTTTGAGACCAGCCTTAGCAACATGGTGAAACCCTGTCTCTAAAAAATAAAAAATTAGCTGGGTATGGTGATGTATGCATGTAGTCCCAGCTACTAGGGAGGCTCAGGTGGGAGGACCACCTGAGCCTGGGGAGTTTGAGGCTGCAGTGAGCCATGATCACACCACTGCATTCCAACCTGGGTGACAAAGCGAGATCCTGTCTAAAAAAAAAACAAAAAAGAATTGCGATTTTGGATAAGAAAGACAACTAGATATGAGTTCATTTCAGACCTTTAGATGACAAACAATCAAGTTGTTAGTCTGTATGTTGAAAAATATGGTTAGAGACAGGAATATCAAAGAAGAATCTAGTTGACTACTGTGTTTGTATCTAGATAATAGACATACTATCTTGGGACAAAATTGTAGTCTTTAGTATCTCCAAGATTTTAGTTCTGGGTCCTTTTTCCCACTTAGGACTGCTGCTGGGTAAATGAAAGCATTTTCAAATCATCACCTCTAACATTGTCAGCTAGAAGGACATTTCTGGATTTCTTCTCTTTGGCCTTAAAAAGTTGTAACATCTGAAATCAGTATTGAGTCCAATACCACCTGCCAACTCTTTGCTGTGGATAAACTTAAAATTCTCGAGAGAGGAGAGAATGATAGGCTTGTCAGCTTGGTGCTGTACTAACAGAGAACACTTTTTAGGAGAAAGCTCTCATGTGGCCAAGTTTTGACTCCTGCCATAAGCAGGGGGAACAAACAGTGAGTGGCCTGTGTGGCCTTTGTTAGAGTCAGCTACAGGCAGTTGACAGCCTCATGTGGCTTTAAGGACATGGGAGCCGACAGGGCGCAAAACAAGTTGAGCCTAGAGGACAGCAAGGTAATGTGTGCTCTAAGGAAGACCAAGGTGACTGGGAAAGATACAGAAACCTGGCCTCATTCTTGCGTTTAGAAAACTGACTTACTATTTCTTGAATTTGACAGCAATGGCACCTTGCAATTATGGAGCTTTTGTAGCCAAAGCCTCCTTCTCATGGTCTCTTCCTCATAATATACCTAAGAGTGTTGAGTAGAAGCAGAGACGGTTTCCCCCACTTTACGTATGGAAAAACTGAGGCCCAAAGAGACTAAGTACCTTCTCTAAGGTTCCATTCTTGCTGCAAAAGATGGTTCCATCAGGTACTTTATCAAAGGCACACAGGGCTGGCCTCCAGTTGGGGACAAATGACTGGTATCTCATGTCACCTGAACAACTTTCTCTTAGTCTGATGTCAGTAACAGGAATTGTGTTCACTTTTCGCCCTAGGAATCCTGGAGTTTATCAGCCTGGCTGTGGGGCTCATCAGCATCCGGGGAGTGGACTCTGGCCTGTACCTAGGAATGAACGAGCGAGGAGAACTCTATGGGTCGGTAAGTTTAAAGTTTTTTTTTTTTTTATTCAGAGGTTATTACAACCAGTGCTTGGACAATGTAAAGCAAAAGTATAAAAATGTTTATTTAGCACTTTAAAGCACTTTTTTAGCTGTAAAGAAGTAGTGCCTTCTAGTTACTTCTTGGCTGCCCAGGGTCTTGCTGCATAAGACCTTCACTCATTTTGGCCTCTACCAAAACATAAGCTTTTTGTTTGCTTTTTGTTTTTTTTTGTTTGTTTGTTTGTTTTGAGATGAAGTCTCACTCTGTTGCCTAGGCTGGAGTGCAATGGCGCATTCTTGGCTCACTGCAACCTCCACAGGTTCAAGTGATTCTCTTGCCTCAATCTCCCAAGTAGTTGTAACTACAGGCATGCAACATCACACCCTGCTAATTTTTTGTATTTTTAGTAGAGACCAGCTTTCACCATGTTGGCCAGGCTGGCCTCGAACTCCTGACCTGCCTTGGCCTCCAGACTAGGTGATCTGCCTGCCTTGGCCTCCCAAAGTGCTGGGATTACAGGCATGATCCACCGCATCTGGCCCCAAAACATAAGCTTTTCTTTATTTTTTTTCTCTTTTTTTTTTTTTCTAATCGTCATAAAGTCTGCAAACAGAAGGAAAAACAGTTTCTATTTAAATACATACAATTTTTTTTTTTTTGATGGCTCTGTCATCCAGGCTGGAGTGCAATGGTTCGATCTCGGCTCACTGCAAGCTCTGCCTCCCGGGTTCAAGCAATTCTCCTACCTCAGCCTCCAGACTAGCTAGGACTACAGGCGCCTGCCACCATACCTGGCTAACTTTTGCATTTTTAGTAGAGACAGGGTTTCACCATATTGGCCAGGCTGGTCTCGAACTCTTGACTTTGTGATCCATCCACCTTGGCCTCTCAAAATGCTGGGATTACAGGCATGAGCCACCACGCCCGGCAGGCTTTTCTATGATACATTTGCTTTTGCCTTTTTCATTAGAAGGCCAGCTAGTCTGACGATAACAGTAATCTGTGCTGGTTTGGTAGTACATGGTCGGAGTTTGGGGCATTAACCCTCCAGAGGAATACATCTGAATTTGAGTGTATACCCAGAGGAGTAGCAGTCTGGCAGGCACAAAAATAGTCAGTGGAAGAGCTGGCTTTCAAATTGAGGATTCTGAGGTTCACAACACGGCCCCTAATTTCCAGACTGCTTCTGCTCAGTCCTAAAAGCCAAATGAAACAAACAAATGAAGAATGAGGGTTCCAGGGTCTGGTGACAGCCTTAAGCCCTCAGCTAGGACTAGGCTAGCTGCAGTGCATTTTCTGTATCCTGGAAGCTAGCCTAGCACCGGGGAATGGTGAGTGATTTGCTGGCCTTAACCCTTCCATGGGATCCCAACTCCTGGCTCTGGCTTTTGAGTCACATAGCATACTTTCTGGCTGCCTGCACCCCATGAAATCAGAACACATTTTTCCGTGACACCTAAGAGATAGGCCTGTCCCCAGCACTCAATATCGGCAACCCCAGCAAGTAGTATGGCGGTTGGATCAAGTGTGAGAAGGGACAGAGGCAAGAGACCCAGGAACTGCCAGCCTGAAGTAGCCAGATTGGAAGAGCTTTTCAAGGAGATCTTTTCTGAGCTTTCCAACTGACAGGCCTGAGGCCCTTCATTAGGAGAGATCACAGCTCACCTCCCATGGAGCTTTATATAGATTTGAGGCCTTTGCCTGTCAGTTGACATGGTTTGCTGTAATCTCAATGGATTTGAACATCATTAGCTATAAGTAGGGAGAAAACTCAGTGGGTGTCAGCGGGGCATTGGGAGGCTATAGCAGTAATTCTCAGGCTCAAAAAGCCAGGTGATGCCATCTCCTCCAATCTCCTCCCTTCAGGAAAGATTTCAACTAAAACATTTTGTGTAGCTTATGAAAGAGAATGAAGGAGATACAGACAAGAGTGTTTTGTCCTATTTGGAAGAAAGATACCTTCAGTAATACAGAGAAATAGAACTGGAATTTTCTAACATCAATGTGCTGTTGCTATTTCAGGATTTCTCCACTAGCAAGCTGGGATAGGATAAATAGTCATATCATGGGTTCTGCTTTATTTTCTCACCCTCACAGAAGAAACTCACACGTGAATGTGTTTTCCGGGAACAGTTTGAAGAAAACTGGTACAACACCTATGCCTCAACCTTGTACAAACATTTGGACTCGGAGAGACAGTATTACGTGGCCCTGAATAAAGACGGCTCACCCCGGGAGGGATACAGGACTAAACGACACCAGAAATTCACTCACTTTTTACCCAGGCCTGTAGATCCTTCTAAGTTGCCCTCCATGTCCAGAGACCTCTTTCAGTATAGGTAATGAACCTTTTGTGTGCCCTCTGTGACCCATGTACTCTGGGGCCACGGTTGTCTCTGCAAGCACTATACTCATAGCTTTTCAATCCTTCCTTCCTATCGTTTTAGATAACAGAAAAGCACTTACTGTTGAACTCAACCCAGCTGTTCCCTTGTTGTTCAAAGTGTATATCAAGGTTGGGTTATTTTGGGGAGGGATGGGGGGGGCTGGGCTCGAGGGAATCTTGTATATACTTTTTTCTTTACTCATGTTCTTTCCCCTGAGGTAGCATAACAAAAGAATGGGAGCCCTTGCCAAGGGCCAGAGGGGTCTTATCCCACAATTTACTCAAATACCTTGACAATAGGTATAAATGAAAGACCAAGGAATCTGCCACAGATGCTACCTACAGAGTTTTGGAAAAGTCTCTTTAAGAAAATCCTTGAGGCTACAGCCTTGCTGCAAGCCTCCCCTGCATTGGCTATGCAGATTTCTCATCTGTCCTGACATACAGTTTTCCTGCCATTGGAAGTGGGAGATGGGGTAGGTTGTAAGAAAATGATATTAAAATGTAAGCATGGATACTGTGCATAAGGACAAATTATTTATAAAATGTATATGCTATTTATTTTATATATTTATTTATTTCAAAATAATTTTATTTTTAATGAGAGATGCTATAGCTGGATTTTCATCAGAAAGAATAAGGTCCTACTGAAACAGGATAAAATGAATTATTAAAGGCTTTTACTGGCAATAAAATTTGTCTTTATATTGTAAGACTCTGTCTAATTCTATTGATTTGTACATTTAATAGGATTAGAAGGTTGGCCAGCTTCTTTCTCTCCAACTCATTAGAATTTTCTGATGTTGGCATCACACTGCCTATGCTGGATGTCTCCATCAGCCATTATGTATGCTAGCATTATCTAGAGGCCTATGTGAAGTCCTAGTGGTCCTTTCCAGTTCTATGACTTTAAACTTACAGGTGAATCGAAGCTTCAGGAAGGCCTAGACCAACAGCTATTACTGAAGCTCCCATTTGTGCTTAGGACTCTGCATAGAGAAACTCTCCTTTGGGACTTGGTTAGGGTCCAAAGTCCTAAAGTCCAAACACTAATTGAGGGTTTCTTACTTCAGATATGAAGATGAAGTTATTCAAAATAAACATGAATCAGCTGATGCAGTGGCTTATACCTATAATCTGAGCACTTTGGGAGGCCAAGGCGGGTGGATCACTTGAGGCCAGGAGTTCAAGAACGGCCTGGCCAACATGGTGAAACACTGTCTCTACTAAAAATACAAAAATTAGCCGGGCATAGTGGCAGTTGCCTGTAATCCCAGCTACTCGGGAGGCTGAGGCAGGAGAATCGCTTGAACACGGGAGGCAGAGGTTGCAGTGAGCCAAGATCACACCATTGCACTCCAGCCTGGGTGACAGAGTGTTTTTATCTTCAAAAAATAAAATAAATAAATAAACACGAATCAACAGAGAGACTGATTTTTTTGACTCAGTCAACTTCCATTCTGGAGATTTCCCCCTTCTCTTTACCCCTATCCTTACCTCCTGCCAGTGCTTTTCCTAGGGAATTTGGGAAGCTATAAACACATTCATCTACTGCAGTAGTGCTTAGTGTATTCTATATGGTCTCTTGACCAGCAGCATCACCTAGAAACTTGTTGGAGATGCAAATTATCAGAAATTCTGGGGGCAAGGCCCAGCAGTCTACATGTTAACAACCCTTGCAGGGGGATTCTTGTGCATACTAAAGTTTGGGAATTACTGCCCTAAAGGAATGGTTTTTTAAAAAATTATTTTGCATCTGAATGGTTTATAAATAAAGTTTTAGGGTAACTTCAGTCCAGAAAACAAAAGTAGAGTGGTTCTATTTGAAGTAGGGATGGCATTTCTCAGAGCTCCCTCTTCCCCAGAGCAGCCCCTGAGGTATCTTAGTTAAAAATCCCTAGCCTTGCTGCTCTGCTTATAGAGTAACCATTCTTTATTCCTTTACCTTTCTAATAAACTTGTTTTCATTTAAAAAAAAATTTCTAGTCCTTTACTGATATTTACCAAGGTAGGAGAATAGGGCTATTTGCATTTTTATAGTGAGTGTTGTCAGGAGACAGCAACCAAAGGAATAAAAGTCCCACTGAGTACACAAGCACTATGAAGTCCTGGTGGGAGAGGTTTTTGGGTTTAAGATAGTTCTTCCTAGTACTCCTGAATCATATTATGTAAGCATCCACTATTTTTCTAATTGTATGTGTGAAACAAATAGCTTAGGTATCAGCTAACTTAAAAAACAAAGCCCAAAGGTCTATAAAGCTCACCCAAATCTGAGCACCAAACAGAGAAGCTGCACATACATGAAATAGCAAATAAGACTGTATAATAAAAAGTGCTAAATTGTGTGGCCTGTGTGATCATAGACTGGAATGCTCATCAGTGGAACTACTAAGGTGGAGCTCTGAGTGGCCTAGTGTGATTAGGGTGAGTTTCATGAAAGAGGCAATACCTGCTGTGAAGAACAAACAAGATTTGATGAGGAAAAGAGGCTGGGTGATCATGATGTTCATGTTGGGCTCTAGGGAAGAGACACCACCTTTAGTGGTCTCTGGCAGAAGAGTAAAACTCAGCTATGTGACATTTTGTTAAATCGCTTTTTTTTTTTGAGACACCATTGCTCTCTATCGCCCAGGTTGGAGTGCAGTGGCACTATCTCAGCTCACTGCAACCTCCGCCTCCCAGGTTCAAGCAATTCTCCTGCCTCAGCCTCCCCAGTAGCTGGGATTAGAGGTGTGCACCACCACACCCAGCTAATTTTTGTTTTGTTGATAGAGACGGGTTTCACCATGTTGGCCAGGCTGGTCTTGAACTCCTGACCTCAGCCTCCCATAGTATTGGGATTACAGGTGTGAGCAACCGCACCAGCCTAAATCACATTTTTAATAGGAAGCACGCCTTTATTTTAAAACAAATCGTACTTATCTATGTAGAGATGTTCAGCTACCTAGAGCTTTTGAAACACAGCCACAACTTCTGAGGACTTGCAAGATACATGAGCTCTGCTATAACTGCCAGGGTTACTCTAGCGGGGCATTTGGTATAAGCCTGGCAAGACCACAAGCACCATGCTGCAGGGCAGAATTTGCAAGAAAAATGACACTGTAACGAAAACGGGAAAGACTTCAAATCCTAGAGTCAGGCCTTACTTTTTCCTCTAGGTGGAAGTAGAGAGGCGATGACTTGGAAAATGCTGTAGGGTCCCAGGACACAGGAGGAGCTCACTCTTTGTGTTCAACTTTGAGGGTTAACAATGAATGGGGCATGTGGACAGAAAATGGCATTGAGCAACTGTTCCCATTTTTTTTTCCAAGACAGACTCATGCTCTGTCACCCAGGTTGCAGTGCAGTGGCACAATCTCAGCTCACTGCAACCTCTGCCTCCCAGGTTCCAGCGATTCTTCTGCCTCAGCCTCCTGAGTAGCTGGGACTACTGGCACATGCCACCATGACTGGCTAATTTTTGTATTTTTAGTAGAGATGGGGTTTCACCATGTTAGCCTGGATGGCCTCGAACTCCTGATTTTGTGATCCGCCTGTCTCAGCCTCCCAAAGGGCTGGGATTACAGGCATGAGCCACTGCACCTGGCTACTGTTCCCATTTTCAAAAGGAGGGGAAAGATAAACTCTGGAAATGGGAAATGTGAGATGGATGACCTAGTACCACTAGATTGATCAACAGCTGACTGACACCATATCCCCAAAGTGCTAGACTAATGGATTTCATGCCTACCTAAAGGGAATTATAAAATAGTAAGCTTTGGAGCTCTGGTTTGAGATAAAAACATGTGCAATGACCATTTCTTATTCATGTTTGCATCCCTTCCCAGAAATAGATGCCTTCTTTAGTGAATATCTATCTATCTATCTATGATATAAATGCTGGGCTAGAGAGAACAAATGTGTTATAGAACAGAATCATCTGAAATGTTAAGTTCTTAGGACACTTAAATAGACACAATGACAAACTAGAATATGTCTCAGGAAAGATAGTTCCCTGTTACTAAAAGTGTTTCAGCAGATGCTAAACAACCACTTGACAAGGACATTGTATCATTTAGTGAGGACAGGGTGAATACTAGATAAAAATGGCAGAATGTAGCATTAGTTTACTAACAATATTCTGTGGGACCCTCAGAATTTTCCTGAGCACCAATAGTGTTCCAGGAAAGAATATATCAGACCTAAAAGTGCTATCCAACTACTATCCCAGGCCAAGAAAGACACTGTAGACCAGAGGTTCTAAACTTGGGAGTCACAGGGTTATTAAAGGTCTATAGAAAGTCTAAACTCCCTGGACCAAACTCCCCAGAATAATATGCAAAATTTTACATAGATGTACATTTGGCATTTCACCGATCCTGAAAAGGCCCCACAAAATGTTAAGAACTACTATCTTAGAAGTTTCTTAGCATTTGGTATGAGATTTGGTGGCCACTGTGATCCTATGTGAAGCCCTTTGCAGAATCTTTAGGTGTTTTTCTTTCAAATATGTAGATTTTATGCATGAAACCTTTAACTTCTGTTCTCTAAGAGACAGCTTCAAGTGGAGGAAGGGGCGAGCTGGCATGGCTGTGCTGCTCAGTGGTTCTGAACAAAGTTCAACCCCAAGCCAGTCCGAAGAGTAGTCCTTAGCAGCAAGACTTTCCTTCCACTCCCTACACGCTCTTTTCATCCCCACTGCCACTGCCAAATATTGCTCATGCTCAATAAACAAACAGTGACTGAACCCATCAGGCCCGAGCACAAGGAGCTTGTCAGAGCCATCAGGGCAGGTGCCCTCCCAAAAGGAATATAATTAAAGGCTTGAAATAATAAAAATATCTTATCTTACCTTCAAGTCACTGCAGTGCTCAGCCACTGAAATCCTGGCTGCATAGTCAGAAAAACATCATGCCCAGGGCTCTAGCGGGGCCGCAGATCACCTGGGCTCTGTCCAATTTGCCTGGAGTGCAGCCCCAGCCTTCCTCCTCTGAAGAGGCTGGCCGTTTGGGACTGCTTTCCTTCTCTCCAGAGTAGCTGGAGCTACATTGCCTTTTCTGCACTTCCCAAGCTGCACTTCACCAGCTGGTATCTGTCAAGGAAAAAACAGGAAATAGGGAGAAGGGGACCAGAGAGGAGAAATCCTCTGTCTTGGAAAGATGCATTCACTATCAGCCATCAAACTCCCTAGCTCAACAGGAGGATCAGAGCATAATTTAGTTTGTCAGTTGTAGAGCTCCCTTGTCCTCAACAGAAAATGGAAGAACCACCAGGCCCAGTGGCTCACACCTATAATCCCAGCACTTTGGGAGTCGGAAGTGGGAAGATTGTTTGAACCCAGGAGTTTGACCAGCCCTGGCAATATAGGAAGACCTCATCTACAAAAAATTTGAAAACAATTAGCTGGGCATGGTGGTGCATGCTTGTACTCCCAGCTACTTGGGAGGCTGAGGTGGAAGGATTGCTTGAGCCCAGGAAATCAAAGCTACAGCGAGCTATGATTGTACCACTGCACTCCAGCCTAGGAGACAGAGCGAGACATTGACTCTAAAAACAAAAAACAAAAACTTGGAATTTTTTATTTAATAATTCATTAAAAATACCAATAAATCTGTTACACATTAACATAAAAAACATTTTTCTGAAAAATAACTATATTCTCAAAAACTCAGAAGCATGCTTTTTTTTTTTTTTTTTT